AGAGCAAACAGGGATGACCCTCTTCGCCAGAGAGCAGTGTCGAAGCAAAGGACGTTGCAGGGCTTTCCAGGGAGAATTTCACAGCCTACCAGGAAAAACAGCGATTCTGGAGTTTGAAATTTCATGTGCTACTGGTCAAAGAAGGGAGGATGGCATCGGTACCCCTTGCACATGGGGTGGGGGCAGAGAGGAGGAAAGGCAAGTGTCCCAGGGCCACCACGGAGACGAGAGCCTTGGTGATGATACACATACGTGGTTTTTCATCCTTTGGTCTCACTGCCAGCAAGAATCCTTATTTTCCATGTGCCAGCATGTGATAGCAGTCTTAAAACCAAAAATAATCCACAGAACCTGACAAAGTAAACAGTGGAACACCATTTGCCACCAACTATTGCTCCTTTTTAAATTAACTCCTTGGCATTAACCAATTCTACTTTTTTATATGTTGGAAGGTGGAAAATTTCTGATTTACAACTTCATAAGAACTTATTATAATTTTTCTTGATTCATAGTAGATTAATCTTCCACAACAGCAATGTTTATAAGTTCCCTGGCTCTGGTAATTTCAGTAGTTTGGTCATCCCGGGGAAGCAGAGGCTGCTCAGGGAGGTGGTGGAGTCCCCATCCCTGGAGGTGTTCAAAAAACGTGTAGATATGACATCTTGGCACATGGTTTAGCAGGCATGGTGGTGTTGGATTGACGGTTGGACTTGATGATCTTAGAAGTATTTTCCAACCTTAATGATCTGATGATTCTATGATTCTCAGAATTCTCAGGCTGTCACGGGTTAAATACCAAAGCCAAGATTTTCTCTTTCTGTAGGACTTTTTTCCCCAAAGGGCTTTGGTTATTTTGATGAGACATCAAGTAAGTGGGACCTGAGTCAGCACCGTGTTATGGTGATGTAAACCCCTGGAAAAGCAGAACCATGGATCAGGTGCCTGGTCTCAGTAGCCCTCACAAATTTCTCTTCAGGCCATTTCAGAGTTCAAATAACTATTTGGGACACTTAGAAAATCAAGATAAAATGCATAGGGCACCACAAGAGACTTATGGGAAGGTGCACAGCATCACCAAATCCTTCTCATTTTTAATATTTCCATTTCTCCTTCTCAACTTTTTCTTTAAACCGAAAAATGACGAGAAAATGTGCTTCCTCGAGACAAGTTGGTACTATCAGCGAAGCAACCTCACGTTCATCGTAGCACTCCAAGTACTCTGGAATGCTTTTCAGCCCAGAGGATAATAGTATTAGACGACCAGAAAGGCTGTCCTGTAAAAGACTGTTATTATGATTTCCAGTCTCAGAAGTTGGCTTAATCCAGCTGAGCACACACATGTTATTTAGAGAGGAGCCTGGGCTCAGACACCGGTATCATCGTCATCTTTATTGCCAGTGAAGAATTCGGCTGGTGAAAGGCAAGTCACGTTTTTTTTTTGTCCTAAGCCCTGCAAACACTGGCTGTCGCTCTCGTCTTTGCGTTCCGCAGCGAGCGTCTGGATGCCGAGCTGTTTGTAAGGATTTGCATCTGCCTAAAAAAAAGAAATCCCGCTTTCTCTCTTGTCATCTAATCAATCAACTGGCAGAAGATGAGCTCCCCGCACCCTCCAAGGAGAGCAGATATGTGCCCGCACAAATGGCAAAGCACGAGCAGAGGGGTTAACTGGAAGGGGTAAGCTGCAAACCATGTAACGGGAACGCTTTTTTTTTGTCTTCTGACTGCTTGAAATTTCATGCTGCTCTTCCTCTGCCTGTGGAACAAAACAAGAAGAGGCAGCAATGCTCGGAGTTGCGGGGAAAAAAAAGATCTGTGATTGTTCTCTGCATGAGAAAAATATGTTTAGAGGATTTTTAGAGTGCGCCCTGGTTGCCAAGAAGGCCAATGACATCCTGGGATGCATTAGGAGGAGTGGGGCCAGC